GTTAATAATTTTTATTTGTTTAAACAAAATTACTTTGTTACAATATAATATTCTAATACCAAAAAAAGTACTTACGTAGCGTGAAAATATCTTTTGTGATGTAACTCTTTCAAAAGTACATAAAAATGGTTGCCAGCAGGGGTGTACATGTAGATTTATTAAATACACCTTGTTCGCCACCTAGGAACCAAATCTAGAACCCGACACTCGAAATATTTGCTCTGTTACAATCGTACCCTGTTACAATTGACCCCACTCTCCCCTATAGTTTTTTTATCGACAGAGAACTCTTGCAGCTGAAATGGCCTGTTACCGGAAAGACCTTGTCAATGAAATGACCTATCGACCACGCTGTTTCATTATCTCACAGATTCATTATATACTGTCTTTTTTTCCTTGCTAATTTCACCCGTCATTCACTCCCTACATCAAGAATCATTCACAATAGTTATTGCTTTTGCGATGCTAATCTATAATAATGTACATTAAAAAATAATCTTAGAAATAAATGTGTTAAATATGACTAGAAAAAAAAATGTGTTATATACAACTTAAATGAGTAAAATGTGTAATATACAACTTATATGAGTAAAATGCAGTTACAACACATAATATAAAAAAAGTTTTTCCATCGTGATGTGAATAGAGGAGTAGGCAATTTTCTAATAAAATGCTTCTTCTCTGGCAACTTCAACATACTATTAAGATTTTGCATCAGGCTAGGTTTAAAAAATTTTAACACAAATGTACTAAATTACAAAGAAGTGCAAGGGCATGACGTCTAATGTAAAAAATCATAAAACTAGTTTCAAAATTACGCATGACTTTGCCTACGAAATAACCTTTTCTACAATTGTCGACGAAATGACCCTGTCGACGAAATGACTTTGTCGACCAAATGACCCTGTCGATGAAATGACCACGTCGACGAAATGACCCTGTTGAAGAAATGATCACGTCGACGAAATGATCCTGTCGACGAAATGACCCTGTCGACGAAATAGCCTGTCGACGAAATGACCTAGTCGATGAAATGGTCTGTCGATGAAGTGGTGTCGATGAAATGAATGCGACCCGAATATTAGTATATGTTCCATACTATAGCCCACTTTTCTTACTTTATACCCAAAAATGTAATACTTTTTAAACAATTTTACACTTTTTTTGCCTGTGGTTTCATGGATATAAGAACATAGTTATCGATAAAGAAAAATAACTATAAAATCAATACTTAAAATAAGAATTTCAGAAA